GGTTTTGGTCTGAGCTCAGAAATAATCAGAGGTGTTTTCTAGGAAGTTCATTGGCTTTATAAGAATTGGTCATGCTGCTGGCAAGGTGAATTGTGGTTTAACTGGGATTTTGTGATACCTCTTTCTGTAGTCACATAATAATAGAAGACATTATTTTTTAATCTTTAAGAAGTGCGGTTTTCTTCTAATTTAAGTAGTCATACATGATAAAAGCTTAACTCCATCATATATCGTTAGCTGGCTGGCACCTAGCAAACATTAGTAAATACGTTCATGTGTCCTTCTTGGGTCATTAGATAATTTTGGCAAATCCAGATGAGCCATGTTTCTGATTCGCTTTGAAAACTTATTTCTGGTGGTTTTACTGATCCTTCCTCTTGGAAGTAGCAAGTTCTATGTCTTCAGGAAGACTTTTTTCATAAGCAGAGTTTTAAGTGCGTGCCAAACCAATGTGTGCGCAGTATCAACAAACAAAAGGGTTCTTTTCCATTCCAAGGGCAGATGTGACTGCAGTTCCTATTGCCCCAGCATGGCGAGGCTGGGAGGTGAACCTTCAAACATGTAGTTCCCTGGACCACAGCATCTCTTGCATGGGAACCTATCAAGAGCCTTTGTCCTTGACGGCTGTGTGCACACACGTGTGGTGTGAGTGCAGTGGTCTGCAGTGACACACTGAAGGCCTGAATTCCTCAGGCTTGCCTAGCAAATAACCCTCTTGATAAGAGAAGTTGTTCTGAACATCCAGTCTGGTCTTAAGGGATTTTCTCCCTTTCCTCTGAGTGGGTGAAGAAGATTGAAACTTTAACCACTCTTTTGTTTGCCAGCAACTGCAGTCAGCTTTGTTCAACTGCATTAAAATGAGAAAACTTTATTTAAAAGCACTTAGAGCCTTTCTAATGTCTGTTTTAAAGCATGCAAGAGAATATTCCATATAATGGAGCCACTGCTGGGACGTGGACTGGGTGCTTACTGTCAGGAAAGGAGCCTATTTAGTGAATCATCAGTTTTGATACATTGCCCAAATCTAACCTTGTTTATGCTGCGAGAGTAAATGAGATCATAATATGAAGAAGGTTTCAAAAACTAACAACTATATTGCATTTTGTGAGAATCTGCATGCATTATCTTTCTCTCAGGAATAAATTTGGAGGCTTGAATAGATTAGCGGGCTTTGTAATGAGATGAGAATGCATTGTTTTGAATGGCTCTGGATTGATTTAGACAGGTTTTGGGTTAATTATGTTTGAGACACTTTGGCTGTGACTAATAAGAAAATTGCATGTAATCTGAACTTTAAGACCTAGACATGCACGCTGTTGTGCATGAGCACTCGGGCTCGTTCTGTGCTGTTAATAAAAAATGTCTGCAGTCAATAAAATACCATCAGCAACTGGGCAGGAGCTGGTCTGTGTTGTTGGAAGGCCTTTGCTGTAAACATCTCATCACTCTATGTCTCATCATGTTGTCTTCAGCTGCTTCATAGGGATGTATTCTACGTCTATTTTGTGATGCTCTCTGTAGTGTTTCATCTTGGGCAACAGTGATTAATTTTAAAGCCATATAATAATATGAGAACAGGAGGAAAGAGAGGGCAGAAGAGCCATTTTCTCAGAACAGATGGTTAAAACAGGGAGCAGAGCAAAGAGTGTGGCATAATTTTATATTAGATTTATAATATACTTCAAGCTGCATTTATGTACTGAAATTTAGAAGAAGGTTATCAAGGCAACAAAAACCTTGTATATATAATTTCTTTATTTGTTCTTGTTAAACAAATTAAACTTTAAGGCCTAGGTCACTGTATTGTGTTAGTTGCGTTTAAACATTTAACTTAGGCCATAAAATCCAATTACAGACTCTGTCCATAACCAGTAAGTTGGCCTATAAATGTATGAATGCACTTATAAATGTTAGGAAGAATTGGCTAATGATAATTCTAATTGTAGTACTCTGTGGATCTATGTGCTTATTCATGTGTTTGGAAGTCTCGAGGTAGGTAACTATTCCTACTCTAATGGCTGTGCCCATTTTACAGGTAGGACAACTGAAGTGTAAAGAATTCATGACTCTCCCAAAGCTTTGCAGGTGCTGATTTACCGAAATAGAGCCCAAACCAGTGCTCACTCACCCTTCAGCCATGATCTGAGCACTTCTTTATGCCAACAGCCTATGGATGTCTAAGGCTGATAACCGAGCAGTCCTTGCTTGCCAGCTGTTTTTATTCCATGTAACAGATTTTAACCTTTGTACGATGTACCACAGTATTAACGTACTTTTATCTACATGCCCCAGTAGAAATGGAGTAGCTGCTCAGTGGTATGAGCAACGTCCTGACCTCCAGTTCTTCCTCTCTTGACAACACACAGTGGAGGCCCCCTTGTCCTGACGAGGGGATGCAGATAAGACAGCACAGCTGTTTGGTCTGTGTGAGGCAGGAGCACCCAGATGCTGCTGGTCAAACTGGAACTGCTTTGGTCTGAAGATGTTGTCCATGTTCTGCAGATCTTTTAGGAATATCCTGTCATCCAGATGTTGTTCTCCCCATCTTTCCCTCCCCCCTGCACTATATGTACATGCATGTGTAAACAGAGGAGGGAAGGGGAGTTGTGATGTTCTTTGCTGTATTCTGTTCATTTGCCTTCCTGGCAGTTTGACTTTGCATTGACACCTGCCTCTTTTCAGTTTTCTCAAGAGTAATAGTAATTTTGTACAGGCTAAGCTGAAACTGCTGTTAAATGCATCCTGCTATGGCACTCTTATCTCCCTTTCCAGCTCACCTTGTTTTCACGGTCCTCTTGGTTTCCTTATGTACTTATAAAAAGATACTCAGTATTGCATCCCAACATTCTTCTGTTCCTCACTGCTACTTTCCTCACCAGCTGTTGCCCTCAGTGTCCCAGACTGCTACTGAGGTGGTTCAAATGCTACCTCATACTCAATTTTTTTGGTATCTTTGTTCCTCCTTAGGCAGTCACAGGCTCCTGAACCCCTTCAGCCCAGGCCGTGGTGACTCTCATCTTTCTCCTGTGCTCTGGGCTGCAGGGTGTCCATGTTGGGCAGGATGGCTCCTGTCACCCCTAGGTCCCATGGGCTCATGGGTTGTTCTGCATCATCAAGGGTTTCTTCTCCTGCTGAGCCTGTTCCCTGGAAGTGCTGTCTGCATATACTGGGTTTTTCACTATAAAATAGCTCCATAACGGAGAGTTCACTGTGTCTAAAATCTGCAAAGAAAAGCTGTGTGCTTTGGTGCTGGGTTTTGAAATGTTGCAATGAAAGCTTAGAGTTTAGTCCCTCTCCCAGCAAATTCCATTGCCACAAGCTGTATCAAAGCAGTTCTCATCCTGCATATGGCTTGATTTAGAGACTCAATTAAGAGGAAACATTAAAGAGATAGAGAGAAGGGGGAAAAAGGGGATCTGTGTGAGCAGCTAATTATTCACTTCAATAATTCAGTGGGTTTTACACTAATAGGTTGGAAAGTAAATACCACTTCACATAGACGTAGTATTCCATTATTTATACACTGATGAAATTGGGGTTTAATTAAGACTAAAGCCCAAGACTTTAAACCCTTAATGAAACATGTTGCTTTGTATAGTCAGTGAAGTACCGTTGCCTGGTTTTCCTTAACTCAGAAGTGGATTACTCTGTAGTACAGAATGCTGCTGTGATACAGAGCAACATTTTAATGTCTGGGAAAAGATTACACCAGCTTTATTAACTGTCATTTTTATCTTTAGTTAGAACTTTAGTTTCTAGTAGTAGCTTTACTGATTAATTGTACGTATGCAGTTGTGTGGCAGGGGTTGGTGTCCGCTGTTCGTGTTGTGTCAAGAACTGGCAGTAATCTGTGATCACCCAGTCTGGGTGATCCTGCTCTGGCAGGGGTTGGACTGGATGATCTTTTGAGGTCCCTTCCAACTCCTCATATTCTGTGATTCTGTGATCACCTTTTGAGCTCTGCTGTGATGATGACGATGCTTGGGATGTCATTGCTCTGTCAGCACAACCATCTGATGGAATTCAAATGCAAACCACGTTGGACTGTGAATACAATGCAATATATTCCCGGAGGAAGTGATTTTTTTTTTTTTGCTGATGGGGGAACACACAAAACCAAGAGGCCGTAATTTGAAAATGTCTTCAAGTCCCCAAAAGGACCCTGACTTTTCTGAGTACCAAGTAGCTTCAGTGTATCTTTTACATGCAGATCTCCCTATAGACCAGCTGAAGTTTATTTAAAGCCCACACAGATGGGTGCTAAGTGAAAAACCCATAGTTTGGCCCTTGACTGCCTGTGGAATATGGTCTGATTCATCTGGGACATGTGAATATGTTTGTTTTTAGAAATCTCTATTTTAGCAAAATCTCAGGGATTCCATTGGGTGAATTAGCAAGCGGTCCTTTGAAACGGTGCCAGTACCTCCAGGCCAGGATTAAGGCATGCATTTTTAAGAGCAAAATTAATTAACTGTTAGGATAATTTACATATGGATGGAGTGGATATTTAAAAGTATGGATGTCTTCTTCCAGTCTAGCCATTAAGAGCCTGGTAATGAAGTTACTGGGTGTAGTTTTGTGATCTGCATTGAGTTAGAAAGTTGGCTATGCAGTAAGTAATAAATCCATTCTGGCTTCATAGCTTTTTTTTCCATGTTGGAGGTTATCGCTTGCAGACTAAGTTGTTGTCTGGTTTGAGGTGCTGTTGAATTGGTTTCATCTGTGTATGTAGTGCAGTGATTTATGCAAATCCAGAAATGTAAGAATAACCAGACAGTTTCTGAAAATAGCGTATTTATCTGTGTTACTTTTAGCACTCTTGATCTGTACCACTGACAGAAATCGGCACGACACTTGCACATTCTGTGGATATCTCATCAGAAAAAACCCTCCAGATCCCTTCCAAAATGAAGGGGAAGAGAGAACCCCTCTTAATGTGGGACTCTCTCCATGTTTACCTCAGTGTTTTTATATGCCTGTTTATGGTTTTTCAGGAAGCCTGGAGCACAGAAAAACAACAAAGAGCCTTCATCTGTGCAGTGCATGCATCTGGCGGTTGTGGCGTGCGGGGACCGGTTGGAGGAGACGCTGATCATGCTGAAGTCAGCAGTTCTCTTCAGCAACAGGAGGCTCTGCTTTCACATTTTTGCTGAGGATTCCCTCAAGCCTGAATTTGAGAAGAAGGTGAATTTCTATGTAATTTTGTAAATGAATAAATAAATGAGTTAGTGTAAGTCACAAATCTCTTAGCAAAATTACATTGACATCAACAAGTAGCAACTAAGTATTTTTTTACTGTACACAGATTATAAATGCCTATGCATGTGTAGTTAAAATGTTGTGTCTAATTCGTTCCTCCATGTCTTTCAGTTAAAGGAATGGCCTTCCTCGTACATAAAGAAGTTTGAATACAACATTTACCCAATAACCTTCTCAGTAGGAAATGCTCAGGAATGGAAAAAGTTATTCAAACCATGTGCTGCCCAGCGCCTTTTTCTTCCGGTAAGGCACCCAGGTTGCAGAGGAGGTCGCTTCAGGAAAAGGTTAATTCCACAGAAAGGAAGCTTTGCTGGTGGATTATTAAACCCATTTTCAGGCTGAAACATCTGCTTAAAGACATCTTAATCTGTGCTTTGGCCACTTAAAAACCTCCAGCCTTGCTTTTTCTGCTGCTAACAAAGAATGCATGTTTCCTATCTGTCTCCAGTTCTGTGAACCTCTCAGACTCTCACACACACACACACACACACACACACACACACACAGAGTATTAGGACTCTTAAGACTCAATGCGAGAGCTCTTTGGGGCAGATGCTTTCTGGGTAGATGCTGCATGCCTGCCATCAGTAACATTCTTTTCAGCGTGCAGTCACCATATCCTTGTTACTCACTATCTCTCTTTCCATATGTTAGCCCTTACACGGATGCTTTCAGCAATCCCTTTTCCTTGAGTTTTATTTCTTTTTCCAAGACTGCCAGATTTGCCCTTAAGGTAATAATTCCAGCCAGATTTCATGCCAGAGCCCTGTGTATACTGAGATCTTCAGGTTCACTGAAAATTTGTATTCTTTACCTTGTAATACCTACAGTGTCATAACCTTAGAAAACATTTTAGGTTGCTGCAGAGAAAGAAAGTGTTGGTAACAATTTTTACATATGCAAAAATATCAGAAATGGAAAGAACTTTTGCATAAAGGAATTTCAGTGGAACTGAGAACATCTACCAAAAATATCTTATGCATTGCTGTTGACTGGGGTGACTGCTATAAAGTGACATGCTCTTCACATGATCCAGATTTCTTCATTGCTGTCTTATGAGAAATGAGGAGGGACAAAGAGATGCTTACTTTCTCACATGGAAACAATCAGGAGACAGCTGCACGTCCAGATATGCAGACTATGAATACATATGTGAGAAAATATGTGCTGTCAGCAGTTCTGTTTATCTGCCATTTAGGGACAGGCTATCAAATGCACAACGGCCAGATGGGCTGGAAGTAACTCCAGCTTCAGCAGGGATCCTCGCTTCCCTGAGTAAATATTTGTATCACCTGGAAAATAATCCCTAAGCAATAGCTTGGTCAATACTGACCGCTTGTGAGGATGTACCCAAATGGGGTTGTTTTCACTGGGTAAACACAGTTCTCTGTTCTTCCTGTTTCTGAGCTAGTTTTTGTCATTTTGGTAGGCTCAACACGGAAACACTTTCACTTTTATTGGTCATTGCTCTTCTGATGGCAGAAAAGGGTTATGTGTTCGTGCTGGTTCCTTTGGGCTGGGCACTGCTTTCCTGGTTCCTGTTTTGTCACGTGCGTGTTGCTGGAGAACACTGAATTTTGGCAACTTCTTCTGAAGGAATATTGGACCGTTCCATGTCATCGTAGCAAGCTGGGAGCAGCCTGAGCTGTAAATGTTTGTTTCTTTTGGGGCAGTGGCAAAATGCCGTGTGTGCTCAGGCTGAGGTCTGTGGCTTTGAATAGGAGGGGTTGTCTGAGAGAATTTGCAGCTGACATTAAGTTGATATGGATGCAGTAAGGACAAGTTGTAGTAATAGCTGGGGTGGCAAGTGCCCAGTTGGACTTTCGGTCCTCAGGTTCACAGACTGACACAACCTTGGGCTGGTTTGGGTAATTTCAGCCACCATTACTTTTTTCAGTGCTTGATAACCAGGTTCTGAAACCCCATTTGAATGAAAGCATGCTGTCAAAATCTGGTCTGCACACAGTGGGAGCGAAGGGTTTCTAGTGTTACTGTTTAGAGAACTATTTTGACTTTTATTTTAAATAAATACCAGCAGGATGTCAATATCCTTTTCTTCTTATCCTTCCCTGTCCTAAGCATTTTCCCCTGCAGTGGTGTAGAATGTGACTGGATTTCAGGAGGACCCCAGGAAAGCTGGGTTTATCAGCTTTGCAAATTGCCTTGCTCCTGGTAATGCCAAGCCCGGGTGGAATGCGAGTCTTTGATCCACAAGTGCCTCTGCTGTAGCAAACATGGAAGTGGACAGGAGGGTATGGGGAATGTACTAAGGGAAAATGGTTTAAGAATCTTTCAGTGGTTTTCCTCACTGACAAAACGAGAGCTCGGGGATGTGCTCCTGCAGCTCGCAGTAATTAACTGTTTTGTCCTGGGTAACAGGTTGATGAACACATTTCATCTTGAGCTGCTGAAACACTTAACATTGTGTGGCTTCTTACATTTTAGAGGCATCCTGTGATGTCTGATCGTGTTTGCTGTGTGTATGCAGGAAAGCAGATTGAGCCTCCGCGTAATCTCACAAGTCTGAGTCTCTTGCTGCAGTTACTGCAGTAGAGCCATCAATGGGATTTGCAAAGGCAGAGTAAGGAAGATGTGGATCTTAACAGGAGCACAAAACGAAACTTGAAAAATAAACCAGGAGGGCGGTGCTCTCAGCAATCACTTGGCAGAGTTTTGTTGTACTAACATGGACATTAAGACAAGGTGAAAATCTGTCTTCTGGTCTCGCAACTGTTGCGTACCTTGGATCTGCTTTGCAGCTGTCCCCATATGGCTGATGTAGGCTACCAAAACATCCAGCTAAAGTATTATGAAATGCTTAAGGGGTTTTTGGATTATTTTACTTCTAATGGTAACTAACATTTAGAACCCTTCTCAAAACACTTAATCTGCTTAAGAGCTTTTGAGGTAGATTAGCAATATCCCTGTATTATAGGTGTCCTCTTTAGTGTGATGCAGTGTCCAACCCGCTGGATCAGTGGCAGCACTGGGAATAGGTGCCAGGGCTTTATCTAGACAAGAGGCTCTATCTCTGTTGTAACTCGAGTTAATTGCTTACTACAATTGAGTTTAGTAGCTGAACTTCGTGGTACTGCTACATTAGCATCAGGTTTTGTGATTTGTCCCTAATTTTGGATAAAGCTCTTATAAACAGCCATGCTGGCCATTGCAAACCATTAGATAACCCAGCTTTACAATACATCAATATGTGTTTGCACAGCAGTGTGTTACTACTTGCCAACCTTGCTAACACAGGGAGAATCTATAGAGACAGAAGTTGTGAAATCAAATTACAGATAATTGAGTATTTAAGTGAAGCATCAGGCTAAATATAGCCAGTTCTGTGCAGAACTTTTTGAGAGATTTATTAAAAATATTCTATATAGCTGCAAAAAATTCATACTTTTAAGCTGTAAGCGCCTGTAGAGTGAGGAGGAAGCACAGTCAAGCCATGTTCTTGACTGTTTGTGTCAGATATGTCTGCATGGTTGGTGCTAGCAAGCATGGACTCAGATTAGCAGACACAGTTGTGGGTTACTTGTGCCAGGTCAGACGCGTGTGTTTGTCACCTGCAGTCCTGCCCCTCTGGTGAGCCCTTCTGGTCAGCAGAGCAAGCTGGAGCCAGGTCTGTTGTGCCACAGGTTTGCCCTGTGCTCAGCTGCTATTGACACTGAAAATCTGCGGAGCCAAGAATACATCAGCTCCTCTTGTATGCTTTTGAATAAGTAAATATAATATTGTTTTAAGGGCTGTGTAAAGCCTAAAATATTCTTCTGAAAACTCCCTTTAGTTTAGGAAAAGTGTTTGGGAACAGAGCTACCTGAAAGCTATAGGACATTGGGAATGCTGAAGTTATTCATATGCAATTTATCCCCAGTGTAACTCCATTGAAATCCCAGAAGCTATGCAAAGAGCTCTTACAGTCACAGTTTCTGAAATTAAATTCCCCTACCCAAGGCAAAGTTAAATGCACAGCTGGAAGGGGATCTGATCAGTTCAAACTGATGCATAGGTTTTAAGTAAGTCTTAACACTTCACATGTGAAAGAGGAAAGTGTGAAGGGCTGAAGGGAAGGAGCAGAGTTTTTCTCTTGGTCTGTTGGCTGTCACCGCAGGGCACCACCTCGGACACAGGAGAGGGAAAAACCCGCTGACAAACCAGAAAGGAGAGTGTGTGCATCCCAGGTGGGAAGCATGGGGTCAGATGCTGATAGGCATCCACTTCACAAAGAACACTACCACCTGCTTGAATCCCTTTATGTGTAGGAAAGTCATTACAGTCCATTGACTCCCACAGACTCCAATTTCTGTGCATGTTTAAAGTTGCTGAAATAACATCTTTCTGCTGGAAGAAGCAGTGTCTGTTGTTTGCGTGCATGAATCCAGCTTCCCACTTAACCCTTAACAGCAAAACCTGAACTTGGCACTCTACCCTTAGGAAATATCTTATGTGGTACAGAGTGTGCATTGGGTCCCTCTGGCAAAGTCTAATGGTTTCTGCTCTCTGTGTTCATGTGTTATTTCCTGTCTCAGACTAAACTTTGGGGTGGTTTTTATATATATATTTTTTAATATTACTTCATATAGTTGGTCCCTATGAATTAGGGCTTCTAGGTGCTACAGAATAATATGCAATATCCAGGATATCCTTAAGCTGAAAACTGGTTTCTTCTTTTCAACTGTCTGTCTTCTATTGATTTACTCTTAAAGTAACTCTCTTTTTTTCACTTGTTATGGGAAGTATTGGACTCCAGAATACTTAACATTTGCAGATATTTACCTCTGAGCTCTTGGTGTGTTACTGAACTGTGTGTCACCCATTTATTGATATCTTCACATGCTGGTTTGTGTTTTTTTGTGGGAAAATGATGTGTTGCTATAAATTTCCACCCAGCAGAGTGATCTGGATTGTGATGGACTTGTCTACATGGAGGTTCTTGTAGCATAAGTTCTGTTTGAAATGCAGAGACACTTGCCATCTCCTGCTTGTCCTGCTGTGTAGGAAGAACACGTAGTTACCACATCAGAAACACAGGGCATGGATTTGTTAAACCTGGCTAAATGTCGGTTTAAATCCCACAGTGTTCAGTCAGGTGAAAAATCTCATTTAAGTCCGTACGTATGGATTTGGGTTCTTAGTGAATGCCTGTTGAGCATGCTTAGAGGTAATTTTTCCATCCCACTTACTCAAAATCGTAGTGTTGTTCACTGTCTTTCATAGGTAATCTTCAGTCACAATACATTTCAATTTATGTAAAATTCAATTTCTTTAGTAGAAGTGATTAAGTTTATCATTAGTATCATTGCAATTGGATGAGAGAGTGAGTGTTCAGTTCCATGACTTGGTGAAAATCCATGGCCTTTTGGATTTGCTTTTCAAAGAAAGAGATAGAAATACGGCTTTCGGCTGGGATCAAAGTAAGAAAATTTCAGTCCTTCAAGAGTTTTTGGACAGTTTTAGCAAATAATGAAGAAGAGAAACAAAAATGCAGTTGAACTGATGGTCAGCTTTAGCTGATGATATTTATTACTTGACAACCAACCTTGCGAATAGTTGGTGCCAACATCAAGGGAGTTTCCTTGGGCTGCTGAAGCACTACGTAATTTGCCCTACTCAGATTAATGAATGAGTGTGTAAGGGTTTGGGTAGCCACAAGGGGGAACATTGTCGACAGGAACAGATTAAATATCCTGGATGTCACTTCTAGTTTGCACCCTTCTGACGTGACTGACTTGACTGTGGTTATTCCTGATACAGTCTGATAACAGACCGAAATCTGAGCTGATCAGTTTTCATATGACATTCCTATTTACCAAGCAAATTCTGTTCTTCAGGAGGATGCATATACATTTTTGTCATGAATAGGGTTTTATTAATTCATGTGAAACATTTGTATATATTAATAATGAATGTAAGGTTGTAATAGGAAAAACAGTCATTAGAAAGGGGTAAGGAAACATGGTACCAGATGGAGATGGAAAGTTTTCTTTTACACTAAGTTACCCTTTCTCTTTATGGAGGAAGCTCTGTGTTTCATCAAGGCATGTGCTAGTCAGTCCAACTGCAGGATCAGGATCCAGATTAGCTTTTGTGAGGGGTTGTGAAAGCATCTTTCATAGACACAGAGCAGCAGCTTCACAGGTTGCTGTATAGCGTATCACTTTCAACAGTGATCCTTTCAGAACAGTCCTTGCTGAACAGTGTGGAGCAATTGCATGTCTTCTACAAATGGTTTACTTCCTTCCGCCTGGACGCCTTCCTGTGCAACCTCATCTAGGTGTTCCTGCTCCGGCAGGGGGATTGGACTAGATGATCTTTTGAGGTCCCTTCCAATCCCTAATGTTCTGTGATTCCTTTTTTGTGTAACAGTACCACTCACAGATGTCTAAAAGAACTAATAAAGCTGTGTAAATACATGTTCTCCACATTCAATTTCTGAACTGATAATTTGCCTTGCAGGGGTTTTTGAGAGCTTGATGGATTCCTGTTGCACATGAAGGTTTGAGTCCAGCTGTTGTGGTCTGGTAGCTGTTTTGCTGCGCAGTTTAAAAACAAAATCAAACACAAACAGCAAGCCCATGACCTGATTACTGCTATCCCTGTGTGTAATTACATTTAGCTGATAAATCAATAACCTCTTTCAAATTATCAGTTCAAAATAAAAGTACCTTTTGCCAATGATCTTCCTTTTTGCTGTCTGTTCCGTTTCTTTTTCACCCCTTCCTCACGCTGTGCAAACCCACAAGGTGATTCTGAAGGACGTGGATTCTCTCCTTTACGTGGACACCGATGTTCTGTTCCTGAGGCCCATCGATGACATCTGGCAAGTCCTGACAGAGTTCAACTCCACGCAGCTGGCTGCGATGGCCCCAGAGCACGAGATACCAAAGATTGGCTGGTACAGCCGGTTTGCGCGTCACCCCTATTACGGGACAACTGGGGTCAACTCTGGAGTGATGCTAATGAATTTAACACGCATACGCAACACTCAGTTCAAGGTGAGAAGAGATGCAACAGCTGGTGCAGAAACTAGTGATTTGTGTATTTTTCACATCTTCTGAAACTTAGTGTAAGATTATACAAAGTTTGTAATATAAAGAATCTGAAAAATATAAACACATTCTAGATATTAAGAGTTATTACAGTGAAAATTATTATTAAAACAAGTGAAGCTTCCTCAAGAGACTGGAGCATGGAGAACTTGCAGATGAAGCAGTCTCTTAGCAGTAGTAAAAGTTACTTCAACATCTCATTTTCCCTTGAAAGATGCATGAAAAAATAAACTCAAGGATCTTCAATGCAGTTGCTGTATTGTGTTTTAAATTGGTAAGCCTGGTGTAAATATCCAGAGAAACTGGTACATGTTTGCATCTGCTGTAAATAGAATTTTGTATCCTGCTGCAGATGAAGTGACTCTGAATTTTGACACAAATGAGATGGGAACATTTTATCCGACATCTCCCCTCTTTTGTGAAAGGCCTGAATTGTAAAATCTGTTTCACTGAGCAGGTATCCTCTAACCTCTTTAAAAGCACTGTTTACCACAAGGGGTCTTGTTCTTCAGTCAAGGCCAAGGGTTTCCCATTCCTTTACAGGAACAGCCTGAGAAAAAAAAGTCTTTGCTTTTAATACCATAATTCCCAGGGAAGATAAATTTCAGTCTGCATTTTATACCTCAGTTTTCACCTTGTCCTTGCATTTGTGCATTTTCCTCTTTTTCTCCCTCCTGTTGCTCAGAACAGGAAGGTTGTGAATGGGAGGAGCTGACATGGGAGATGGATGCAGGAGACCTTGCTCTGGTCAGGTCAACAGGAGGGGTCAGCTCTGCTGTTCAGCCCTGTCCAACATTTTCTGGCAGTTCTTAATGTTTCATCGAGGTAGCTGATGTGGCTTAGCAGATTTACAGATATGTGGGTGCCACACTCTGAGCCATTTATCACATCGCTGCTCATGGTATTAACCCATTGCTTCTGTTTTTTGCCCCGCAGAACAGCATGATACCGAGTGGTTTGACTTGGGAGGAAATGTTATATCCGTTATACCAAAAGTACAAAAATTACATTACATGGGGAGACCAGGATTTACTAAATATAATTTTTTACTTTAACCCAGGTAAGTGATGATTGAGTCATGATTATCTGTGTTAAGAACATTTCTTGAATTTGTTAATTTGTTATTTATAATATGCATACTGCACTCTGGCATGAAGTTAATGTGTACGTCCACCTGGGATTTACAGCCTATGAGAATAATTCTGAAATTATGCAGGTAGTGGGGCTCAGACTTGGCTCCATTGAATATATACATCTGTTTTCTGGAGATTCTTGGTTTATATTTGCACCCAGTCTTTATGTTGCCCTCTCTTCGTTAGTTCAGATCTAACAGTGTGAGATGTGTATAGTCATTCTCCAAGGAAAGGAAGCTCCTGTGTCTAACTGCTGCTTGGGATATTTACAAAAGAAGTAACTGAGTTTTTTCTGATTGTCAGTCCCAGCTTTTTCACAGAGAAATGGATTAATATGTTGTAACTCTTGTTTGACTTGTCTCTTCTCTCCTTGGTTTTGTTCCCCACCGTCTCCCTGACCGGCGCTGGCAGAGTGTCTCTACGTGTTTCCATGTCAGTGGAACTACCGGCCTGATCACTGCATGTATGGAAGCAACTGTAAAGGTGCAGAAGAAGAAGGTGTCTCTATTCTGCATGGAAATAGAGGTGTCTACCACGATGACAAACAGCCGACGTTCAAGGCACTCTATGAAGTGATCCGTGATGTAAGTCTGTCTCGACAGAGGCAGTCCTTTCATTTCAGCGCAGGTTCCTGCTAGAACTGTGCCACTGATCGCTGTTCTAGCAGATCCGGCTGAGCACAGTGGTGTGTTATGTATACCTGTCAGACACAAAATAACAAAGCTGCTTTGGTGTCTCCTGTCTTACTGCCTGTGTCTATCTGAGGTTATTTAAATGATCCTCCTTCATATTACAGTAAACTTCTAATCAAAAAGGCTGATAAATTGCTTTTCTCTGATACTGGAGGTGGGAGAAAAGTGTTTGGGTGGAGTTCTGTTGGTGCTGTGGCTCTGGTCCATAAATGCCCAAGGAAAGCTTGTCCTCCCTGAGCACCTGGAGCACACGGAGGGCAGATGTTTGCATACAGACGTAAGTCCATATTTCCACTTTGGAGTTGTATGTGTACAACTCCACTCTAAAACACCTGTTTTGTTACAGTATTGCTATGTTAGTAAACCACCTTCAAACACAGACTAGCAGTGCAGTTCCTGGGAAGTTGGCTGTTTGGGTCATTCGCCCATACAGACTCTTCTGAAAGTGGGCACTCAGGCAGAGTAGCAGTTGAGGTCCATGGGCTTTGATGATGCTCTGGAAAGGTGAGGGACAAGTCATTGACTGCTGAAGAAGGTTTTGTCTTACAGAAACTTCTCAAATGCTGTGTTGTGACTGGTGAAAACCAATAATTCTCTTCTCTTTTCTTCTTTTCAGTTCCCGTTTGAAGACAATCTCTTCCAGTCTCTGTACTACCCTCTGCAGTCCAAGTTTCTGGATACAGTGCACACTTTATGTGGGAGAATTCCACAAGTATTTCTGAAGCAAATTGAGAAAACTATGAAGAAGGTGTATGAAAATCGTGTCATTGTCTACCTAGGGGCCAACCACAGATACTAACTGAAGCTATGTTTTTACACAGAGTTTTTAATTCTTGCACCCCATCTCATGAAGCATATGAATGAAGAGTTTAAGAGTTCTGAATGACAATATTTTCCTAATCCAATTTCCTAATAACCTCTGACATTACAAAAACAGAGGAAATCGCAGAAGTCTTCCTGAACTGTCCTTTCTTAGGCCTTTTGTTCTCTTCCTCTGTTTACTCTTGGTTGCTATAGAGAGAGTTGATGAGTCTCACTTTTGGTTGACAAGTTATTTTGGTTATTTCTTTGAGTACAGCTGTATTCACTGTCTCTTTCTTGAAGTTGAGCAAAAGCTTGTGCTGATCTTAGGCTTGACAAAGAAGTTACCGTTTAAGCTATGTAATATATAGGGAATATAACTCTTGAAATGATAGGGCAGATATTCTTGACTGTCGTGAGAATGCTCAGTTAAAGAAACGATCACTCTTGTGATAGGATGAGTTAAAATTTACTATAGTAAAGGGAAAGTATTTGCTTAAAATGGCATTTCTGTCTGAAGGTATATTACCTGCTATTCTTCACTTGTAGGACCTAAGATTTTTCTTACTTAAAAAGATTGGAGGAGTAGAAGTGCCTGCTTACTTTGTAGTTTACAGCACTTCTTGTCTAGTCATTGGCATGTTTCCCCTCTGCTCTGAAGTAGTTTTGTGAGGGCTCCTGATGAAGGAATTAGAAGGAAAACAAGTACACCATAAATAGGAAAGCAGTGTACAAGAAACGGCAGGCGCGGAGGGATCAGTAGAAGCAGTGGCACCTGCAGAGCTAATGGAGAGCAGAATGAGAGCCCTTTCTTGCGTGGGGTTCAGTCATCATCTTCCCCGCCACCGTCTGACCGTTTTAAGAACGTATTTCCTAACTTGGTAATACCAACTACATTAGACACAGTCCATGAATATTGTGAATGAAGAGTACAAAAACAGGTACTATTGATCTGTTTTCCTCTTTAATCCTCTGTAATTGCTTTTACTGCACAGTAACAGCGGTACCAAGAACCGTCTTCCATCCCTGCACTGGGAGACCGGAGCACTGCCGCTGACCCCCCTTTTCTGCTTTGCCAGAAACTGGGGCACAGAGATGTATTTCTGCCTGGTGCTTCCGTTCCTGGAAGTAGAGAGATTAATGCTAGGATCATGAGTCCCCTTACAGTGAAAGAGGACACAAGATGGCTTTGTTTATTTAAAATACTTCGTTTAGTCTCAATTTCAGAAGTACGATGATCCTCTTGGGGTATGAAGACAAGAGCTCATTAAAACTCGCAGTAGCTGAAAGGTGCTTGGGACAAGTCACGAGGGAACCGAAAGCAGGGATGCTCTTACAGAGCAGTGACACAGAAGCAGACTCTCAGAGGGCATTTCTCAGTGTAAGCCCTGAGGGTGTGTGTAGGTGAGTGCTTGAACAGAACAGCAGAGAAAATAATCTGACTTTTCAGGTCTGCTCAGAAAAAAAACAACAGCCGTAACTTGGAACTACTCAGTTTTATAGACACAGTAGGGGAGCATTGAGGAGGGTGAAATATGTGAATATTCCTTTAAAGAAAGCAAAACTGATACAGATTGTGTATCCTATACATGCAACACACATTTATTAGACATAAACACTCGGTGTGTGTGGATGAGGAAAAGAGTGTGTTTCCTAAGTTAAAAAGTAGGATTTCTGAAGAGTTGTGGTTTGTGGTTTGAGGGTTTCTACCTTATTCAGTAAGGACTGATGCACAGTTTGATAAGAAAACAGACTCCAAGAGAAAGTCATTTCAGCTTGCACGTTCCTCTCTCTGTGTTGCAGCTCATGAAAGGAGGGAAAATGCAGCCTTGCTGGCATCAAGCTGTAGATAAACAGGCTGTGCACAGGATGAGATGCTGGCCAACTTCTTCCAAACACTGGAGTGTGGAAATGTCTGTGACACATCCGTAAGTGTGCTGAATGAGTGACACAGCACAGTAAACAGCACCATTGCAGGGTCATTGAGCAGGGGAGGAGTGAAGATAGAGCCTGGAACAAGGGGCACAGGGTCTCGGTCCCAGCAGTGTCACTGCCGGGCTGTGCTGGTCCTCACAGCTGTGACAGACAACAGGAACATGCGGTGTTTACGCCTCTGTGTGCTGCACGTTCTCATCAGCAGCTTGTGTGTGGCTCTGACTCAGAGCTGTTGTCTCGCAGCCTTTGCCACCGAAGTGTCAACCGACATGCAAAGGACAGGCAGCTCTGCATCAGTTTTGCTTGAAAGCCCAAAATGTCCTAGTGGCACCCAGAAAGGCATCTAAGTGTAGACGTTGGTGTCTCTCATGACTTGCCTTAGTATTTTCAATTTTAACTGAAGTTTTAGTTGCCACTTAAAAAGAAGAGTACATTCCTAGCTACAGAGGAGAGTTTGAAAATGTAACCCAAATGAACATTGAGGACTTCAGAACCAGAAGGCAATGAAAGGAAAACTTCAACGTGCTGTTTTAAAAAGTTAAGTAATGTCAGCCTAACATATATGATAGGTAAACCTCTTAGGCTAGCAGTATTGAGAACTTATCAGAAATACTAGTTCGCTTTTTGATCCATATTTTCTCATATCAGGGTGAAGCTGACTGTGGGTCACACAAGGATAGGTGAGATGCGTGCTGGGCGCTCTGAATTCCCCATTTCTATGGTACCCACAAGCCACAGAAAGCTGTGGAGCAGAAGCCTTGTTGCCCAGACAGTTGCAGCTCTGGTGCTAAGCCTCAGAGTTGACGAGGCTGTGGCTGTGAGCGATGATTCAGCAGAACCTGCAGCTCTGGGCACATTGAATGAAGGAGTGGAATTCATTACAAAATAAAGGCATTGTTGCATATAAAATGTTTACAGGAGGTGCTACATTATGTTTAGAGAGAACTGTGTTATGTTTTCTACAGCTATTCAAATATATGAAGTATATGCTTTAACATGAAGACTTTTGTTAATGTAATACCAATTTGCAGGAAGAATAGGGGAGGCTCCCCCCTGCTGTGATTTTTCTGAGAAAAAGAGCTATAATTTGAGCTCTCCAAAGTGTTTTAAAACAATTACTTAACTTTGTTTTTTTGGTGTTAGAGTTATTAATTTATATTTTTATTACAGCTTCCAATACCATGTTATATTTTGGTTTTAACAGTAGTTGATTCTAATATTAATCTTATTTAGAAACCAGTTTTCATTCATTTTGTATTTTATACTTGTGGCTAATTCCTTGTTAATTAGCCTTCATGTATTTTAATAACAGCATGTGTAAATACTTATATAGACTTTCTATCCTCATTTCCCCTTCCTCTTATATATTTTAGTTATTTCCAATGGTATAATGTAACCAAAACACCTTTGCTAATACAACACCTTGAGCAGTGTCATCGTAACACAGAGGGGAAATGAAAAGTTTTCTTTAAATGAACAGGAACTGCAGCACACGAATGTGTTGATAACAAAGGGAAACAATCGTCTTCCACACAGGAGGGTGCAGCCCGGAGAGTGGTGCCTGGGTTATTGAACTCCAGCCTTAACCCAGCAGAGGTTGGATGCTCCTGAATTTTGCCTGTGTACTCAGTAGACTCATATGCAACCATGAAGTTAAGCATGTAACCAAGTCCTTGCTGCATCAGCGTCAAATATTCAGGTCTGAAATTTGCTATATTATACTTGAACTTGCCGAAGATAGATAAATAGGGACTTTATATTAAGAGCTGCTGAGCACCTCCTTTTAGCCCAAAGCCATTTAAGAAAGCGTCAGGCTACCAGTGCACATGGTACAGCACAGCTGCCAGAGCGGGAAGCCTTTGGTTGCATCATTGCTATAATAGGAGAGTTTTTCTGGGTTATTTGCCTGCACAAAGTGGGCTTTGATCATTTCGCTGTCATTTCACTTACAGATGGAAACTGGAAACTGCTGTGTGTGTGTGTGTGTGTGTGTGTGTGTGTGTGTGTGAAGAATCCTGTACCTTTTCTCTGTCATTTAATTGCTTGTGATTTTATATTTGACAAGTGCACCAATTGTTTATAGCTCCCAAGGAGGCCTAGCAGTGCATTTCTATGTTGATTAAGATTCTTTGGCTTACAGTACAAATAAATGGCGTTTTAAGCAAACTCTGCATTTTGATAGTTTTCTTTTAAATATAAGATTTAGGGGTGTATTAGGGATGTTATAGCCTATGTGTACAGGATGTGTCTGCATTAAGCAAAAAAAAATGTTCCTCTCTTAATTTTACTGTAGTGAGAGAGTATTATGTGGGATTTGTTACTGAAAGAGACAAATACTTACATTTAACGTTCCTCAAAGTGCTAATGGATCATGCTGTAACTCCAGCTGTGTTACGGTGACCACAGATCAGAACCTGCTCTCGAACAAAACTGAGGTTTTACCTTTTACTTTTTACTGTTTCTCCATTATCTTCTGCTCCTTAGAGGATCTCGTCGTTCAGCATGATTTTCCTTCCCTTCTCCTTGTATTTAATTTTATTTCTTTGGCGTTCTTGTACAGTCTCTGCTGCAGTGCCCTTGGTTTTGCTGCATCACCTCTGGCAGATGTCGGTGACTCGTCTGTTCAGCCAAACCAGTTGTCTGCCTGGTGATGAAATGGTTTTCTCACTTGCTCAACTTCGTGGTATGTTGGGTTCAGTCCCGCTCTTTGAAGTCAGGAATCAAACTCCCATTGATATTCATGAGAGGGTAAGGCCAGCTGTAGAAGTCGTACTCTGAAAGGTGTTGCTTTGTCTCTGGCCTGGGAAGGGCAGCGTTGTGTGGTGTTCGGTTACGTGGTCCATGGTCGAGCTGGGTGGTGATGTCCTGATCCAAGATTTTTCACCTGCAAACGTGGCTTCAGTGGGGACTATGGGGAGAACGCAGTGTTTCCAAGGTACGGGCTAGGCAGAAGGAACACGGCACAGCAGCAAGCAGGATGTGCATTCACCTGTTGCTGACCATGCAGATAAGGGACCTGAACCCTCTCCCACGTCCCTGTTGCTGTGCTGCTGGATCCATTACACCCATCTGAATTGCGTTGGCTGCAGCTCTCCTGCTCAGAACAAATCAACTTCACTGCAGCAAGGCCT